AGGACTAATCCTCTATGGACTTGCTGCAACCAAAGCGATCACTGCAATGCCAGCACCACCACTTCAACCTCGGGAGAATGTTTGGATAACCTTGGCGCACCTGGGGAACTGGACTCAAAATGAATATTTGTAATGGGATGTATAGTGCTAACTGTAATCATAATCCCTTGTATGTATTTGCCATGTCTCATACAATTGATACGTGCCTTAGTGGAAAGAACAATAATGACTGTTCTAAAGAAGAATGCAAATTTAGTCACCGCCGTTGAAGAAAAGAAGAAGAACTTGCTGAACTGTTGGGAGGTTTTACAGCATTGCCAAAGCCAACTCCTTGGCTATTGCGTTTTGGGTCCTTAACTATGCCTGGTGCTAGAAAACAAAAAAAGGGGAGATGTGGGAAACTGAGAAACCGTGAGAAACTGTGGGAAGCTGTGGGAACGGTGAAAGTTAGGAGTGAGAAACTGTGAAAGTTAGGAATAACAGATTAGCAGATAGAGAAACCTAAAACACAGGCTGGGCGCACCGATCTCTGGTTGGTTACCTGTTGTCCGTTAGCAGGACAATAGAGTCAAGGAATTGGCTGGAGGCAGGGGGAGGGAGTGTGTGGACAGCGCATGGACAATGTATGCTCACATACTCGGAGAAATTTGGTCTGATGCTCAATAAAATGGCTTCTGGTCCTAAACCTTAAGCACCTGCTCCTTTCGATGACTCCCGCACTGACATCCCGGTGTGGCAGCAGTATGATGCGTTTAGGCAGCTCCAGCACATTTTCTACCATAACCTCATATTGCCAGTGCAAATTTGCAAGAGTTTACACTCCATCTCGCATCTTAATTGCCAACAAAGATGGGGATCTCCAGCAAGATTTAAATCCAGCTCTCTGTTCAGGAGGAATGTGTCAAATAGAGAGCATAGCCGGAAACCACAAAATCCATGAAAAATCACTTAAAGCCCACAGACAAAAGCGAAGCATTAAGCTGGGTAATGCACGCCAGCTGTCAGGAACAGAAGGCTTCCTGCAGCTTTCAAGCTCGCACGTATGCTCAGCATTTTCAGCCAACGCACGCGTCCGCTGCTCCTCTTCGCTACAGCTCTCCAGCCCAATGTGCAACTGCACCAGTCGGCCCTTCACGGGTGGAAATGCATTAAACGGGTCTTGCAAGGAGCATTAGAGCAAAAACCTCAGCATCTAATCACACAACCTCTTGTTTGATGTAAACAGACTTAATCCAACATACAGAAATACCTCTGATTCAACTGAGTAGGGGTTAAAGGCAAAGTGTGCTGGAGAATGGTCTCATCAACAGAAGAAAAAAATCTGGTATCTCAGGCTATTGCAACTTAGCCAGAGGATTAAAAAAAAACAGATGATAGAGGTCGAGGGCTTTTCTTGCAACCTACTTTAACATAAGCGTGTCAGGAAGGAAATGGGCAGAGGGAAATCTGGTAGTGGTGAAGTGATAAGACTAATTTTAAAAAAAAATGTATTCTAGAAAATGAGAGAGGACTCAGGCTTATTCACATTCGTTTGAAGCTTTAAATAAGTGGAAGAGAATAACAACGTTCAAAAGCTTACAGTTTCATCTTCGAGCTTCAGACACAGGCTTTTATCTCCCTCCTTGTAATCCTTGATTATTTCTGCTGATTTCCAAACTTCATCAGGGAATCCAAACCCGAGTGTACTGGAGGAGGGAAAAAGAATGAGCTTAAAAAGCATGCAAATCTCAGAAAAATCAAGTGAGAAATAAATGAATTCATGACAGATGGAATACAGGCAAGAGGCATCAAGGACAATGTGGACACCTAAACAAGTGTGCAAGGTTTTGCACCAAAAAACATCAAGTCTTGAGGTTTCCATACATTAAAAACAGGGTGTTATGAGGCTACTTTGCAAAATTAAGGATGCTCTGTTGCTAGGCAGCTCCTTCAATGATTTTGGTAGATAGCACATGCTGTTTTTAACATC